AACTAATAGCAAAATACACCACCTTGCAAACAAAACAAGACAACAACGACAAGACAACACAAACAAGTGTCATCCAATGCCTACACAAAGAAAAGCAACATTGTTGGAGACAACAACCAACACAATATTAACGCTAGAAGTAGTGCCGAAATCAACAAGGATACAACAATGGCTTCAGCTATGGTGCTTGACTTCAATTCCTTGTGAGCTAGGATAGTTCGGGAGAGATAAAAGGGGAAAAAAAGAATATTTAACAGAATTCTTTGAATTTCTAATAATTTCTCAACAGAAATTAACTACTTATAAGCAAATACAATGGGAGCAAATCATCTTTTCCAAAACAAACTCCACAAAGAAGAGGGAAACACTCATCTACCATAACAAACCTGTTAAGTTCAAATTAGATAAAAATTTAGTTGGAATAATCCTAATATGAATTCAAATTTGAATATAGCTTATCAAAAATAAATTCACCCTTATTATTTTGAGCTACCCCTGTCAACAATTTCTTAGAGAAATCAAACTATTAAAATATTGACAATGATTTTTTTTTATTTTTCCACAATCTGATGCCCAAATCACAATCAAAGAGAATTGATTGACCACCTACTAATTTGATCGCCGGATCATGATATAAGAGGATTTCAATCCAATGAAATTAAAGCTCCAAATGAGGAGTTCTTTGTGAAGCTTCCTAGTATATCACTTGGCTGTGCTTAGTAAATTACCTTTCGTGCCAATAAATAACGTCTCCTTTGGTCCTCCTCAGTTTTAGTAGTCTTCGTCACCATAGGGGTTGACCAATCCTTAAGGTACCACCAACTCCAAGATTATAAGAAAACCAAACACTCCACAATATTGAGCTAGTATGCACATAGGAGGGACCCTTGCTGCAAATGGATGCATCCTAACTCAATGGGATACTACAATTTTGTTAAAATTTATTAAAATCTCATATAATGATTTAGCATAAATGCCTATTATCATAGAATATTCATGCAAAATACTTTTAGACGCTGCACTTGTGATACATGTTTCCTTTGCATGACAACAATTATATTATTGGCTTGACCTTTAGTTAATTAAACAAGAGAGGTCGCTTAATGGTAAAATGTTGATCAAATGCTAATCAGAGATGGTGCCAAGAAGACAATGCCAAGTGTTAAGCAAGGAAAACAATAGGCAATGGACCAGGCGAGTAGAGCTCAACATGGAGTCAAGAACTTATGACTAGGCCATGTTTGTGCACAATTCAAGCACCTCATACCTAATCATTGCTAGATTGTTCAATCATACAAGTTTTTTAGCAAAATTAAGGATGTTTTTGCATATGATGTATCAATTTGGCCTTCATGTACTTAGAATTTTGTAACTTATATTATTTGCCACTCAACTTTAATTATTGGGGAGAAGGAAGGTTGGCCTTCAGGTGATCCACTTTAAAGGACTGTGACAAATTATATCCATTTAAGCAATCAAGTGCCCTAATGGATAATGATCTGTAAGTCCTGTGGGTGAGTCTTATATGAACCATCATAAATAGTTATATTCAAATAATAATAGTGATATAAATATTCTTCAAGATGATTAGTCGGTTGTTAGCAAGGCAAAATAAGCAGAGTTCTACACCAGCAATTTCCTTTTTTATTCTTCTTTTTGTTTAAGGTAAACACAAATTAATCAACATTTCAGTGAAAAAATATTTATCAAATCATTACAATCACCCAAAGGTTATACTTCTTAATAGACATGACTTTGGAAGTCCTTAAATTACTTCACTATAGGAATCTATATTCTAGGGTTTAGGACTTGATATGCCTAAATCAATTTTACAACCTTAAGCCTTCACGCTTTATTTGACTGACATAGATTGATGCTTGAAGCCACATAAATCAATAAGAAATTGATGAACCAAAAGAAAGCTAGTATAGCATATCAACTTTAATTTTTGGGAGGAAGGTCGGCTTTCATGTGATCCACCTTAAAGGACTGTGCCAAATTATAAACATTTACGCATTTAAGTGGCCTAATAGATAATGGTCTATAATTCATGTGGGTGGGTCTTATTGAACCCTCTTAATTAGTTATATTTAAATAACAATAGTGATATAAAAACACTTCAAGATGATTGGTTGGCCGTTAGCAAGGCAGAATAAGCAAAGAGTTCTAACATCAACAATTTCCTTTTCTTTTTCTTCTTTTTCTTCAAGGTAAACACACGCTGCTATTAATCAAATTTTCAATGAAAAGATATTTATCAAATAATTGCAATGTTACCGAAATGTTATCTCTTAATAGGCATATGATATAAGAAGTCCTTAAATTACTTCACTATAGGAATCCATAGTCTAGGCATTAGGACTCGGTATGCCTAAATCAATTTTACAACCTCAAGCCCCCATGCTTTATTTGACCGACATAGTTCGATGTTTTAAGCCACATAAATCAGTAAGAAATTGATTACCAAAAGTAAACTAGTATAGCGAGATCAACTTTAATTATTGAGAGAAAGGTTGGTCATCATGTAATCCACCATAAAGGACTGTGCCAAAGTATAACCATTTAAGTAGTCAAGTGACCTAATGAATAATGATATGTAATTCTTGTCACTGCGTCTTATTTGAACCATCTTAATTAGTCACATTCAAATAACAATAGTGATACAAAAACTCTTCAAGATTGGTCGGCTGTTAGCAGGGCATAATAAGCAAAAAGTTCTACATCAGCAATTTCCTTTTCTTTTTCATCTTTGTGTTTAAGGTAAACACATGCTATTATTAATCAAAATTTCAATGAAAAGATATTTATCAAATCATTGCAATGTCACCCAAATGTTATATCTCTTAATAGGCATATGATGTTAGAAATCCATGAATTACTTCATTATAGGAATCTAAAGTCTAGGATTTAGTACTTGGTATGCCTAAATCAATTTTACAACCTCAAGCCTCCATGCTTTACAGAAATCCATGGAATCTAAAGTCTAGGATTTAGTACTTGGTATGCTTAAATCAATTTTACAACCTCAAGCCTCCATGCTTTATCTGATCGACATAGTTTGATGCTTTTAGGGCACATAAATCAATAAAAATTTGTTGAATCAAAAGTAAATTAGTATAGCAAGATCTACGATCCAAGTGATTGTACTCTCCAAAATCAAGTAGCATGTAATTAGTCAGCACACAACATTTTTGCTCATTAAATATGGGCTATATAAGCTCCCAAGCCACAAAGAGTATGACAAGTTTAATGATTTGTAAGAAACTAGGGAGAAATAAGAAAGATCCTAAGATGTTCTCACTCCTCTAAGCCATAAAAAAATGAAAGGGCCATTAAATATCCAACAAAGGAGAAGTTTGTCAGGCTCATAACTATCTTGATGATAGATCTCCGTCATTATGATCACCATCATATCATATAAAGAGTTATCCTAGTCATCATATTTCTATCCTAGAGATGATGTTGGTGAATTTCACTTAAGCATGCTGTTGTAGAGGAGCATCACAACCCAAGCATTGGCCAATGGCTAGTTGTTCAACAGCTCATTTCTCAAATCCTCTAATCATTTGATGGAGCATTATCCGCTTAAGTTTGTGCTCTAAGACTTATTTTCTTGATCTAAGAAATATTGGGAGGTATGGAGGAATATGACATATTCAGATTTACCATCACCAAAATTAAGCTTTCAGATTCAGCTGTGATCCATAAAATTTGGATTTGATAAAATGAATAATAAATTGCCACATGAACAAATTAAAATTACTATCAATCCCATTTTCTCATATATGCGACCAATTAATTTTTTACCTTTATTCCCGTTCAACTGGTTGCACAATATTTTGTGCTAATTTCATATGCTACCCTCAAAGTGCATGGTTGAATGAAAAATATAACACCAAAGGAAACACAACTATGATAAATGTTATCTAGGCAAGAAAACAAGATAAACTAGTGTAATGCAACATGGCTTACCATTTTATATTAGGAAATCAATCATATGACTTGCCATTTTATAATAGGCAATCAATCATTTCCAAGAATCAATTTTCCAACTACCTATACTGAACATAAGGACAACAAGTAAATGATAACATGTACTAGTTGCATGGCACTTATGCAAGATTCATTCTCACCAAAGGTAGAAAAATAATTACTCAGGTCAATATCAAAGCAAGGATTGGTTTGCAATGGACGACTCGTTCAAATTATGAAAAATGTGTAGAAAACTTGACAAACATAAACATGTTTATGATTAGCCAAATTTTAAATATACCTACAACCCAGAGGCCAACTTGAAAATGTTATTGCTGCAAATAACACTTGGTTAGAGTCATGATGTTGCCTTAACATGACAAATGGAGCTTGAAATACGGACATAAAAGCGAGAAGAAAATATTACTGCTTAAAAATATGCAACTATTATGTTTGCACTGAAATGATCCAACAATAAAGTAACTTTTAAACCCACTAAAGCTATAAACTGTTGGCTAGCAAACATAAAAATTGCTTGAAATAAATATAGAATGCAAACGTTTCATAAAAAGGAGTGCTTCCACTATCTTCTCATGCAGTACAACCCACTGAATATCTGTCCAACTGCAAATTATGAATCTGAATTCATAGTAAAAATTCCTCGGAAACCATCAATGGGATCCAGGAGGCAGGCTAACATAAGAAACACATAAGTAAACTGCATGTATTTTTTTAGGTTGGTATTATTGTCTGAAAGGCATGGTATAAGACAGATTTAAGATGAAACATAACGCATGTTCTTACGAAGAATTATGAAATACAAATGCCTTACAATAGCTTTCATGAATAAGAAGCCTTGTCGATAATTTAAGCATGGTGTATACACACAAAAAGATTAAAAAAAAAATCAAAAGAACATTCTTACAAATAATTTCAAACATTTCAAAAGACATAAAGAAAAAAATAAAGGGCTAAAAACAAAAGTATAGATAACATCAGTCATGTTTCTGAAAAAATAAATTTTGTACCCATGCATTGACAGAAAAGTGAATAGTCTGCTTATCCAACCGCAAAGAACTTGAGCTCCGGCGGGACGTTGCGGAAGTTCCTGATCTTGATGCTACATAAAGCTCCCTCATTAATCAAAGGAAACATCATCAAGGTCATAAAAGGTAGAAAAACATGACGCAACCATGGATATTTTGTCCACCTGAACTTTGAGGCCTTGGCTGCACCCTTGTTGGTGTCGATGAAGCTCTAGAAGATACTGTAGCTGACTCTGAGGAACTGGCTGAAGATATCATATCAACAGCAAAATCTGGATCCTTCAAAAACATAATGAATGGAACTGAGAAAAGACATTTAAATTCTTTACACTGTTTTCAAACATACTTCTCTAAAACTAGCATTATCTTTCAGCTAAAATCTCTATAGAAACAGAAAATGTTGAAACCACACGTTTGAGATAAATTAACCATGAGCACCCCGAGGTGTTCATATCTTCATTATTGAAAGTAAAGTGGATAGGTCAAGGTAATGCTAATAAGCAAACGTTGTCAACTGGTTGATGCATTATGTTAACAAGCAGAACTTCTCAACATTGAGAAAGAAATTTCAATATTACCTCACTGGTTCTCGGTTTCAAATATTATTAACATTTTATCTCAATTTCATACAACAATTTCTAAAAAGCATCCGTCTTTTAAAAGATTTTAGAAACACATTCAGATATTATTAACACATTTAGTTAGAAAATAAGTAACACGATAGCACTAATTTAAATTTGCTCAATAAAGTTTGTTTAGATAGGAATCAAGTTATTTGATAATTTAATCATTAATATGCTCGATCATGGCTCGATTATCATCACATGAAACGAACAAGAAGTAAACTCAAATAGGAATTAAACTTGAACAAAAACACAAAGCTCGATTAGAGCTCGTGATTGAATTTTATAATCAACCTCAAGCTTGAAAATAACTCCCAAAAGCTCAATTTGAGCTCAAGCGAACTCAAGCTCCAATTTATAAACAAGCTCAAGCTTGAACACAGTTCTGCTCGACTCGATTCGATTCGTTTGCAACCCTATCAAAAATTAAGGCTATCCATCTAAGTTATTTTAGGTTATTTTCAAGGTATTTGATGATTAACCAAATGAAACCATAACTTTTTGTATATTTGGCAGGAGCTTACTCAAGTTTATAGCATATGTCACAACCATTGGACATTTATGAAACAAGTTTGAGAGAAAAAAAACACGGCCATATATTCAACTTCGTTCAAAAAAAAAAAAGAAAAAGGTCAAAAAGTTCTAGTCTAATTGAAATTGGTCTAGGACTCTGAGAAGTTGTTTTGAAAGCGGATCTAGTAGTGAGGTAGTTGAGGAATAGCAAGGTAATGATTATACACGGGTTCAACAGCGTTTGGATGGGGATAGAGGTCGTTTGGGCGGCTGTCCCCAACTGAAAATATCGGAGGTAACCACAAAACAATGATGTACGAGATCCCGTGACTTCCGATTATAGAAATCTCGCAAGATTTCAGCGTCGAAGGATCATGGAAGTTACGTTGTCGGCCAGCCAGTAGCAAAATCAACAGAATTCACAAACCTGTCGAGTTCCCGAGCGGGAACAAATGATTCTTGGGATCATAGGAAGTCGAATGCGCCCAGATTGTCGTTCATTTACCTATTTCAGCCCAATTTCTTTCCTTTTTGATTTCTTTCATATTTATTTATTTCTAATTAGGTTTTTTTTCTATGAGGGGTTATTCATATGTAGTTATCTTCTATTTCTTGATGCTTTTGCTTTGTTTGGAAATTTTGGATATTGTAATATCTAATTTCTATATAAGGGTATGTTTGGGCAGCTGCAGCTTATCCAGATAAATAATTTATCCTGATAAGTTGTTGATCAGCAGCTGATCCGAATAAGTTTGTTGACTGTTAGGTTTGTGTGTTTGGAAAACAGCTGATTTGCAGTTATTTCTGAATAAATGATCATTCTGACCCTGATCTAAATAAGCTGATTATATGTTTGGTTTGTGTTTATTTCTGAATAAATGATTATTCTGACTCTGATCTAAATAAGCTGATTATATGTTTGGTTTGTGCATTTGGAAAACAGCTGATTTACAGTTATTTCTGGATAAATATTCATTATGTCACTATGCGGTTGTGTTGTTTGCAATGGAATTGTTATGGTCATATATTTGGTAGTTTAAAATCAAAAAAACTACTTCATAACAGTACAAAACAAGAACATCCCAATTTCATCCATTCATCAAATTCTCAGCAAAACAAATCGCACAAAGAAAACTAGGTAAAAACATCTCAATTTCATCCAAGTAAAAATAAATCTCAGTAAAAACAAATCTCAGTAAAAAAAAGAAAGCCCAATAAAAACAAATCTCAATAAAAACATCCTGATTTCATCCATTCATCAAGTTGTAGTTCATCGCACGAAGAAAGCCAAAATCGCATGGAAAAAGTGAAATTATCACAGTAATAAGCACACATTGTAGAGGGGAGGGATAGGAGAAAGGAACCATATGCGTGAGAGGGATAGATATTACCGAGAGCAAAAGATGTTATTGGAGAGAGGCGAGAGCGAGAGAGATCGACTCTAGGGATCGGGTCGAGGACAGAGGGGATGCAAGGGCAACAGAATAAACGAGAGTGAACGAACGCGAGACGCGGGGTAGAGGTAGTTCCCGCGGTCACTTTTATTAACAATTCAAAACAAATTTCACGAAACGTAGCAGAGACGCAATTACCAAACGGAACGATAGCATTTTGTAAAAGTTGTCCATGACTTTAATCAGCCCCAAACGACCCCTTAATGGAGTGTTGTATCTTATCCTTTTGTAGGGTAGTTCCCGCTCACTTTTATTAACAATCCAAAACAAATTTCGCGAAACGTAGCAGAGACGCAATTACCAAACGAAACGATAGCATTTTGAAAAAGTTTTCCATGACTTTAATCAGCCCCAAACAACCCCTTAATGGAGTGTTGTATCTTATCCTTTTGTAAGTGGTGTGTATGAATCTTTCTCAAGAGCAGTCAGTAAACCTCCTCGTTGTCTATGCCTTGTCGTTCGTGGTTCTACTCACAATTTTCAATAAGGACAACTGTCGAAAGATGTATATACCCTTCCAAACATCATCAACATTGCACATTTCGTTCCATTGCTACTCCACAACTACCTCCCCATAAAATTCGCTTCCCAATAACTTCTAGCAGGCCAAAAACGGTATCATTTAGTAACAGAGCATGATGAGACCTAACTTTTTACGGTAAAATCCAACATACCCTAACTTTTCCTACTGAAATTTCATAATCTTAACCCTAAATTTTCAAAATCCAGCTTATCTACCTCCATCAAAATTTCACCCTAACACCTACCACCAAAAATGAAGCCATCGAAGAACTTTTAATCACAATCCTATATCCGCCAAAAACTTGATCAAGGTGAAATAACGCAATGCCACCTAAAAAATTCATAAATAGGTGTCCAGGAGTTTACTATGAAAGATATAAAAAGAGAAATCCGTCAACTGCAACAGAGGCTTGTTATCTGTGAGGGGAGAAAATATGGTGAAGGCATCCATAACCACAACAGCGATTCATCATATAGAGAGAAGGAAGTGAATTTCTTCTCCAGGTAGTTTCTAGTGACAATGAACCACTACCTCAATTCAGTATGAACTATCAAAAGAGAAGCCAAGATGTTAGAGTAAAGGTAAACTTACCGAATTTCGACAGTCACATGGATTCAGATGGGTTTATTGAGTAGCTTCAAACAATTGAGCAATTTTTTTTAGTATAAGCATGTCCAAAGGACAAGAGAGTTAAACAACAGTCATCAAGCTCATAAAAAATGTTACATTGTGGTGGGAGAACCTAAAGCTTCTTTGACAACGGGAAGAAAAAAATAAAATTATTGTGGTCCAAAATGAAATGAGAGATGCTACGTAGATACCTTCCCTGACATTATCAACAAAATATGTTCATAAGACTCTATCACCTACGCTAGAGAGATTCTTCTATTGAAGAGTACACAACAAAATTTAAGCAACTTATGTTAAAGTGTGGGTCAGTGGAGCCTGAGAAAAACACCCTAACTCAATATCTGGGAGGATTGAGACCATCCATTGGCAACATGGCACAATTACAGCCTTATTAGACATTACAAGATGTTCAAACCCTAGCTCCAAATGTGGAAAAATAACATCACCGGGTGCGGCCACACTTCATGGGCAAAGCTCATTCCACATAATCAGGCAGCAAGAGTGCACATCCCAGTCGACTCCGAACAAAAAAAAAATCAGTTATAAGTGGAGAAAAAGTGGAGACCTCCAATACTCTCAAATTCGTGTTAGCAAAAAAATGCCTAAGTGCCACAGCTTTGGGCATTTTGCATCTGATTGCCCAAATAATAGTGTGGTCTCCTTCAATGAACTGAGAGCAGTTGAAAAAATAGATAGTAACACAGGAGCATTGACAGAAGTGAGGACACAAAGGGAGTAGTACCAACTCCTAGCTAATGAGAGAGAGATGCTACTGATTCCAATTGAGCCCAAGAAAGTGATCACAACATAATTAATATTGATTGCCTAAGAAGATATTGAGACCAAAGAGTCAATACCATAAGAGGTGCGGCCATTCTTGAAAGAATTGTTGAATATCATGATCTATAGTTTATTCCCTAGGTGGTTATCCTTGAGTTTGGTTCATCCTGGCATAGATTTTATTTCAAAGTCAGTTCCTCCAGACGGACTTGTTTATCGTGTGCTTTGTCGAGTACGAGAAGTGGGAGAAACATGTTACAAATGTAAAGGCTTGAGACTTGGTTAATGAGAAAATTCGTTATGTGCAGTTCCAACATAGGTTGTGCCAAAGAAAGATGGTTACTTATTCTATCAGGACAAACTTTAGAAGGACATGTGTTTTGGAGCTGCCTGAAATGGATGTGAGCATAAATTTTGCAATGGAACCGGCTCAGACACAGCAAGGCAATGACTTTATTATGATGGTTGTAGATTGATTCCAAAAGCCTCCAGAAAAGAAAGTCTCTCCTAACTGGGGAGAACGAGGGAGTGTCCGCTACAGTCACGAGATATCGTGACTCCCAATCGCAAAAATCCCATGACCTCACGAGAGCGAAAGCTTGCACAATTGCAATGGGCTAAACCACATGATTCCAACGTCGAAGGATTGCAGGAGTTATGCTATCGGCCAACCCATAGCAAAATCAATGGGATTCACAACTCTGTCGAGTTCCAAAGCGAGAACAGTGGATTCTCACGATTACGAGAAGTTGATTATGCCCAGAACCTCGTTCCACTACATATTTCAGCCCAATTTCTTTCCTTTCTGATTTCTTTTTTATTTTTCTATTTCTAATTAAGTTTTCTCTATGAGAGGTTATTTATATGTTATTTTCCATTTCTTGAGACTTGCTTTGTTTGAGTTTTGGAGATTGTAAAATTTAATTTCTATCATAATTGAGTGTTGAATCATTTTCTCTAGCACGTGGGGTGTCTCTATCTTGCTCGAGGACATGTGGCAAACCTCCTCGTTGTCTGTGCACCATCGTTTCGTGGTTATTTTAGCTGTTTTCAGCAGGAACACCCACCGAAGAACGTCTATCCCCTTCCAAACGCCATCAAACTCGCATATTTTCGTTCCCTCACTATTCCAAAATTACCTCTATGCAAAATATGCTTGCCAAATACCTTCAAGGATCCCTAGAACAGTATCAATAAGGTTATTATGTTTTCTAAATCTTTGATTCAGCAATGTATATTTTACTTTTAAGAACATTTAATCTACACTACATCTCTTATTTAACTTAAAAGTGGCTGGAATTTATTCCAGCACTGATAATTGGTTGCTATCTTTGATAAAGAAGGCTTGAAAGCAAAGAACAAGGATGGGAGAGAATATTTATTAACAAGATTCATCCCTGGATTCACCACAGCTTGCTGATTGAGTGGAAGAAAAAAACAGAATATTCTCAATATTCCAAAATTCTAGAAATCGCGTCTTTACTATTCATTGTACAGTCATTTGTGCCTTCTTGATTTATAGAATAAATAAACTAAACTTTTTTTTACTCTGTCGCAACTGGCAAGAAAATTCAGCCATTATATAGTTTGGTATGGTTGCTAGGAGACGCAGAAACATCACCATCAAGAAGCCAGGAGGAGCAGAAAGAATATGCAAGATTGAATCCAAAAGAAAATGATGGCTTGCATAAGGGATGAATGGGTAGTGTAGCTTGGTTCACACTTTTATTTTCAATTCTGAGTTTAGATCCACTCAGTAGTGGAATTAAATAAAATAAACATTGTTCTGCAGTGTCAAAGCACCTTGATGACTACTTGTACAACCTTGATGAATCATCCCATGTATTACATGCACTATAAAAACATATCAACGCCTTACTGCTGTACCACACACCATCTCACCATGTATCAAGAATGATGCATGAAATGAACCTAAAATAAGGTGCATGAACCAAAATTGCTTGAATCTTAAATAAAAAACAAAGATAAACTCGATCAACTTCACTCTATATTAACACCGCTCACAAAAAATTGCATCCAGAAAATCCTCAACCCTAAACCACAGTCACCATGAAAAAATGACATGCTTGTCCAGGAAAACCGTGGTAGATGTGCGTTTTTATTATGTGCAAGGGAAATTTCACTCCCATCAATTTGATATTCATGAGTTATGTAAATAAATGTAAGAAATATTTTTATGGCTTGCTCACAAAAGAAAAATGTTGGTGTTTGCAAGCGTATTCTATGTTGTGGCATAAGTGCTGGACATTGTTCCAATACAAATTCTTCTTTACATTTCTTCCAAAATCCAATAGTAAGGCATGATCACCATAGCTGTTAGCTTACCCGATTTGCATTCAATAAAACATATAGAAGAACTATCTGAAGACATCAACTTGTTAACTAAAATATAGATGGAACCCACTTAGCTCTATGAAAAGTAGATTGTGCCCAATTTAACAATCAATCTCAAAAATGATAAGAGGATCAAAGTGAAAAGTGCCTATGTTGTAGCAGTATCACGTGATATAAATGAGATAACTTATTGCATACACAAACATTATGGGTATGAACAAACGAAAAATATGTGAGTAAGAATCATTAGAAATAAAAAAGTTTAGCATTCATGCTGACTTTTGTAACGATATTGAGCCCATGGAGTTCACTCCCAGCTAATTTGAATGGTTCAAACCAACTCTTTGAGTTTAAATTAAGCCATTCACATCTCAACCCAGGCTACTCACATGTGAGGTCATAATACGAAACGTTGTTTAAGAAGGTGTTTGAGATGCATGTCTCAAAGTATGAGCGAAAAAAAGTGCCTCAAGGCTTGAGCCTAATTATCACCAGTGAGGCTTATGCCTTTTTTATCTAAGGTGTATTCCTGAGGTTTTATGCCTCAACTTGTTTGAGGTGGTGCCTCAATCAGTTTATGAGGAAAAGATTTATAAAACTATATTATATTATATTATATTATTAATATATAGTATATATTATATTATACTCTTATCTAAATGTATGTGTGTGTGTGTGTGTGTGTCTCGCTTCGATAGACAAAACACCTCAAATCCTAATTTTGACTTTTTAAACCTTGATATATAAGTAAAAAACCATTGGGAATTTTGTCATCAAACTGATTGTAATTGTTGTAGATCTTTAACCTATTAAAAACACTATCCATGTGTTGCCAATTGTCGCTTCTCATATTCCTTTAATGGAAAGCCAAGTTGCCTTGCACTTTTTGGTGTCAAACAACGCCACTGTTGCTCTTAGTATCTTATGCAAACCTCCCTTATCCGATCGATACCAAGACAGTGGAACCAATGTCAATATTTAACAAAGCCATTCTAGTTGTCAAACTTATCCTTTGCATCTCATATAGCAACAAAAAAAACTCCCATCATCATCTCCTTTAGCAATGGCAAGGAAACGTTCCACATTGACATTACAGAAGCTTGGAAAGGCCATTGTTGCTCTACCCCACTATAGATGTGGCCATGATTGTGGCCTTTGACGCCTTCAATAGTGATAGGAAAAGATCAATTGGGGGACCTAGAATAAACTTAGTGTTAGATGAAAAGATCTAACAAATAAAGATGCACTAAAGAAGTATGCAATAAAGTACAGGCCCGACTCAATAAGCTGCTTAGTAATTTCAGATACTATAATTTAGTCAAAATAAATAACAACCTAATTAAATGATTCCTTAGACTAATCGAGGATTTCAAAAAGTAAAGAAGTCGACAGAATGTTAGGTAATAACGAGAGGTCTTGAGTGAAATTTACTCTAGGGCCATATTAGATGCTATATAATAAAATACAAAACTGCATTATCAATTGATTTGCAATATGGACATTACAAGCCTGTTTATGAAAGATTTGTCATTAATTTTTATGTTTTGTATTTGTACCTTACCTCAGCATTGGATGTTTTCGTTTGCAAATTTAGAATTTTAACTCGATATTAATCATGCATGAAATTTATGCATCAATCCACTAAGATATACATTGCCTGACGGATTAATGCATGTGTATCTTATTTCTTTCCCAAGTGTTAAGATCCTATATCATGCAGCATCTCAGCTAAATGTTTACATTAAGAAGAATTAGTAGTGACTTGCATTCCATCTTTGCTGGTGTTTTTTTTTTTTTTTTGAAGCAAAATGAACGCAAAGTAAATCTTTTTATGGATTTGAAATACCCAGAATTTTTATTTTCTCTGCATTTGAAAAGCGTGAAATTGTGTCATTTCAAATCTCGTGTAGTGGCCACCTGTGATTCACGTACCCAACCACTAGCCGCCTGCCACTCAACGCTCCAGTCTCCACCCACCAGTATATATATATATATATATGCATTTGATTTGTATACAATTAAATAGCTTAACCATATCTAAGAAAAATGTATTACAATTACTCTGCAGTTATGAAATGCCCATATAAAAAGAAAAATCCAACCATAACCCTAAATGGAAAAAAAAAACTCAAGTCTAAAAACATAATGATCAGATCAGAAGCCATCATTGCTTATAAGTTCCATATACATTCACCAAACAAGAAGTGCTGAAGTGACAAGGAGCTCAAACTGATGGTTCCAAACGACTCCACACATCTACAGCAAAAGATCATTGAATGCAAATGAACAAGATCGATCCAAAACATGTGAAATTCAGGCAACCTCTATGGAAAATACGGCTGAAGTTTTCATCTGGTCGGCATAAAGCTCGAGGTGCTCCGGGCAAGTGGGTTTTGGAAGCATGCTAGGAAGAAACAGAATTAATCATATAGAATAAAAATGAAACAGAACAAAGGATCAGAAGAATAAGTCGCCAAGGCAAGAAGATGACACGTAAAAATGTATGCCTTCCATTAGCAAAGTGAGTTCATCCAAATCGAAAACGATTGATTCTGCACGAGGTTTTCCCATTCTATTTTACTTACGACGAATCGCTGGAAGAACTTATGCTTGTAGTGGTTAATAACATCGGATCGGGATGCCATGTGGGGAGGGATCAGCACGTTCGACCAATACTCCGCCCACCGAGGATCGCCGTCGTAATTATACGCATCTGCTGCCGCCCTCTTCACACTCTGCGAATCTCCTCCACCGTCCTCGTCTCCCATCTCTCTATCTCTCTCTCTCCTGCCTCTCTTTCTCACAGAAAAAAGATCTTGGCCCTTCTCCTTTCCATGGCGAACAATTGGAAATAACACAATCAAATTTTCTCCTTGACCTAATCTCTAGGCTTTACGTGCATCTACATTAAAAGGATGATATATATTTAATATTTATTTTTTAAGAATTTTTCTTAAATCTATATTTTGAATTGCAATACCCTTGTTTGCCAGAAATAAAGATTTAATTAGGACGGTTAAGTATCTGAGTTCGAGCTGAGTTGGGTTGAGTTGGGTTGGGTTGGGTTGAAAAAAATTCGATCTAAAATTTTAGCTCGTAGTTCGTAGCTCATTTATTTAATTTGATCTCTACTTGGATAAAAATTTAAATTAATTTTTGAGTGATTAACGACCGTTGAGCTAAACTTATAGCCCAAGGCCTAATAAAACTCGTAGCTCATTTATTTAATTTGATCTCTACTCGGGTAAAAATTTAAATTAATTTTCGAGTGATTAACGATCGTTGAGCTAAACTTATAGCCCAAGGCCTAATAAAACCAACAATTATAATAGGATTCTTTTTTTTACTTTATTTCAACATCGCTAGCACAATACAACCAAAACTTAAAACACATAAGACTTCATGATAATATTTATAATAATGTACAAATCATGTTTAAATTAAACTATTCAAATAAGGTTGGAATCTAGTGCATGTTCAAATTGACTCACATCCAGACTTAGTTCAAGTCACTTAAATCATGCTAAAACACGTTTGAAATGCATTTGAACATTCGAATATGGCGGAACCATTGCTTTATTTCGTGCATTTTGTCACTTATGAACTTGCTTCACTTTTGTTAATTTGCAATATTTATAAGTATTTGCTCTAATTGTTCATGTAGTTATTAAAATATGTATACAAAGAAACTTTATTTCAATTAAAGAGAGAGCGGGTGCAAAATAAAAAAATTCAAACATATGTGTACCATGTTGGAATAATATTCAAATGAAATATAATCTTGTTTGAAGTTTGCTCGACCCTTGAACAAATATTGAACAACTTCATTAAAGCTTGTTTATTAATTGTTTGAAGTGAGATAAACTTTTTTTATCATTGATTATTTTTTTTTTATTCTTCCTCGGTCATTGCATGAATCTTATTCAATGAAACTTCGAATGTTCAATTATGAATTAAACTTATTTTTAACATGGTCAAAATAAATTTCAATTAATCTTCAAAGCTTTGATAATTTGTTTGCTAATATTCTACTGGTTTTAGGTTTCGAAGTATGAATTATATTTTTCAATCTCGATAATCAAATATGTAGCATACTAATCTTGAACAGGTGGCGAGAAATATAAAGGAAAATTTTAATTTAGAATTTTGCTCATTGTAGATTAAAAATCAGTCTTCATGGGTCAAAGTTCACACCCAACATGTTTCTCAGGCTTGGTTTAGCCCATTGCATGAAAGACACAACTTTTGTCGAAGTGATCCATTAACCTCATTCGTCGATCTATCATGAGTCTTCTACTCATTGTCGAGCTGATATGTCAAACTATTTTTTATGAACTAGCTCGTTTAACTGGCCTGTCCATTTAATCTAACAAATTGACAAATCAAACTCACTAGCCTAACTCGTCTCCTCAACAATCATTGAACTATAAGAACGTAAAAGTCAACACTTACACAAAGGATTGACATTTTTTCACTTTCTCTTTTTTGAGCCGTCTGACACACGTCCTGATATTTTCGTTAAGTTACCATGGATAGATATTGTGTGACACGACTTGCATTTTTATTCTTTTCTTATACACATATAAAAAGAGGAGACAAACTGGAGTGAGAAGACTCTCCCTCTCTCTCTCTCTCTTGTGGCCTTTTTAGGAGACCGGTGTTTTGACTCCCACGCAACCCTTCTCGTCCCCTCTTCCTGTTAGATCATTTCTTCTACTCTATTAGATTGGGGTAAAAAATTAGAACATATAGTTCAAGCATCGAGAATGTATTCATCCTTTTTTTTCACCTTCCTAACATAGGTCTCTCCTAATTTGTATGAACTTACAAACATTACGAGACTCAAACGTCATAAAAATATTCAACATTCTTAAAGGTGCAATGAGCTCGGAGTTCATACTCAAACTCTATAAGAAGATCTTCCAAAACAAAGAAGAAACAGAGGAGTATGATGGATTGTACGAGAGAGTTCCTAGCATAGCAATTCAATGAGCTAAAGGAACATATGATTAAGGTTATACAAGAAGCAGTAGATGAAACCTCTTGATCTTGATATAGAGCTCATCCAAGCGCACACACTGGATTATTAGGATCAATGGTTCACCAACAAGATACACTGAGGCAGGATCTACTGAGAGTAGGACCTAGAATGGTTCTTGCACCAAGGTTAGTAGAAGAAGAAGATTGAGATGAATCTTACATCTTAGAGGAGGAATCTTCTAAATCTTCAGATGAAGGAGCCAGAAGGAGTAGAAGGAAAAAATTATTAAAGAATGTATTCTCAAGAGAGATTGCAAAAATCAAAGCACAAAAGAAATTTAAGATTCCATCTTTAGAACCTTATAAAGGAATGTCAGACCGCGTTGACCATGTGGCTTCTTTAGAGTTAGTTGTATGATTAATAGAGTAAACAATGCTCCAAAATATCATTTACTCTTTATGAAATTAAAGAAATCGGATTTGCATGGGTTCAAAACCATAAATGCGTGAGTCATCACTTTCTTTGGAGAGTTTGAGTGGATGTTCATAGCTCAATTTACTAGTACACAAAAGCCACCAAAGATCTCTTAAGTTTTTATAAAGGTTTGTCAGTAGCCCTCGAAGAGCCTTAGAAGTTTCACCATAGGTTTTCAATGAGAAATGCTAGATTGATAAGATCTAGAACTTGTTGATGCCCAAATTGCCTTTAAAGGCCCAATTTCCCCAAATTCCTCCCAAATGTCAATCAATTGGGCCCCAATTCCCCTCAATTTCATTCCTAAACTCAAATTAATATTTCATATGATTAATTCAAACCAAATCCAAGCCTGATTGACCCATTCTTTGAGCTCAATTTGGATCCAAGTCAAACCCTCAACTTTGACCCTATGACTTAACTCCACCAAATTGAACCCCATAACCTACTCAATTTACCCCAATTTGAATTTCAAATTCTTCTTAACAACCCTACACATCAAATTGAACCTTCAATTGGCCTTGGTCAAACCTGAATTTCAATCATTTCAACCCACATTCAAAATCCCCAAAATTTCCCCAAATTGGTTATGTCCCCAAATGTCATCCAATTGAATGCCCTAACCCCAAAATTGACTCTCGATTGACGTTGAAAACTCTCTCGATTGATGTTGAAAACTCTTCATGACATTCTTATAGACCATTTTCAACCATTAATTTGGACCTAACCCAAACTTAGCCCAACCTAGACCCAAGTCTAACCCAACACCCCCAAATTGACCAAATGCCCATAATCCTTCTAATTGAACCTCCAAATCAATTCAAAACTACTCCAAACCTTTTCAAAACCACTTGTGAAAATCATATACACCTAGTTGATCAATCAAGTGAGCTCAAGTTCATGGCTAGCCTAACCCAAACCTAACTTCTAGTCATTTTGACCCAAATTGAACCCAGGCACCAAAATTGACTTAGCCACGCCTAAGCCACCAAATTAATGACACCACAGCCACCAAGTACGCCCTATGGACCAGGCTAGACCCACCTAAACTAGCCAAGGTGATCTATTGACCAATGGTCCCTTAATTTAAGGGATTTCACTCCATATTTGGCCTAAACTTGAAATATCTTTGTCATCATTGCATACCCTTGGGAGTTAATCATAATTAGCCACCCCTTAACCTCCCTGAGCTAAGAGGTGACCATACTCTAGCAAGCTACCACCTCAGCTACCGGAAATATCTAGCCCAAAGGTGCTCCCATTAGCCAAAACCCAAAATTAAACCCTCTGACTTGGCTCACTCTAATTGGATGTTTGAACCTTTCTTCCCTTCACCTCAGCATGCTTTAGCACCCAACTCCCAGCCCTGAGATCCACCAGGCAGCCATGGCTATAATGGAGCTCTCCATGACCAAGGAAGTGTGTGCTTGAAACCTTGGGGAAACTCTGTCAAAATCTCATATGAGCCTCTCCAAATCATCTCAAGTGCAATCCCCTTGCTCTCAATCACTCATAGCCACCCTTTAGAGCCAATTTCTTCACTAAAATTTGCTCTAAAACTAAGAAAGATCTCTCCACTCCTCCATAGTGAACCAAACTTCAATTAATTGTGCACACACCATCCCCACAGTGAAAGAAGTTGATTTCCCTCAAAGCCCCCTCTGAAACATCCCTTAGAAATAGATTTGGCTAAAAATCACATCCTTTTATTTTTGTACAAAAAATAATTATATTAAATTAAATACACTTGGAAAAATTATGAGAAGTTGTTTTCTGAGTTCCTTATGATCAAATGCACATGGGATTTTTTTAATTTTAAATAAATGATTAAATTAAATTAAATTTTGAGAAAATACTTAATTTTTGAGTTTTTTTTTATTTTAAAATAATTAAAAATAATTAAAAATCCCAAAAATATGAAAATATTTCAAAATTTGCCTAATTGCTCTCTGATCACTTGGGACTCATTAAAATATTTTTCCTAATTTTTTTATAAGTTAAAAATAAATTCTAAAGGCTTAAAAGTGGATTTTCCTTATTTTCCCATTAAAATAATTATAATAATTTAATTCAAAAAATTATGAAATTTTGCCTAAGTATTTCTCTTACCTAGGGAAACCTCTAATAATTTTCTCATAAAAAAAACTTTATCATTAGAAAGTTAAATAAATTAATTGCTTAAAATCATATTTTATGATTTTAAATAAGTGATTAAATTAAATTAAATTTTGAGAAGTTCACATATTCTCTTCTTATATTATAATTACGTAATGGATATGATACTCTAAGCCCTCAAAGTCATTCGAGTTGTGTCTAATGAGTTATGAGGTGAAATGCCCAAAAGGGCAAAATGGTAATTTTAGACTTTGGTACCTTAATCAAAATTTAAAATTAACCATGGGAAAATGGGTAATTTTGATCATAATAAACATGTTTGGATGATTG